TACAAAGTTTTTTGTATCTTGAGTATTCCTCCCAAAGGTATCTAATTGAGAAAGCATGTTCTCTTTGTGGCTTTTCCTTGTAATTGTAATGCAGCACCATAATAAACTGAGAATAGAAGCACAAGAACGAGGAGAGGTGTACAAAATTTCCAAGCTGAGACGAAACATTGAGATGGATGAATACGATTTTATCCATTGGCGTCGGTCCCTTGAGGAAAGAGAGGCTCTATTAAGAGATATAAGCTGGTATTCACACTGGCCTTTCTCCCCCATCCTAACAGTGCCCCAAAAACGTTTCCTCTATAACCCCCACCCCAATGAAATGAAGAAGAATTATTTGTTTATTATACAATTGACATTCATATGTAGTACTAATTTCTCAACTGAAAGACTTGTTTACCTTCTGTTTTCTTTCTAAACCTGAATTGCCTCATCATGTCTAACTTGAGGGTTTTTGTCTGTATCCCGTTAATTTACAAAGCTTATCAACATCGCTAAAGATGCGGTCATTGGATTTGGATATAAGATTGGAGACTTAGTGATAATTGATGCTTTTAATATCTCGAGAATTCTTCTGATTTGTTCATGAATATTCAGTCCTCCAGAAGTCAGTTACTTTTAGTTTTGCTTGGGTCTAGTTTATCTAAAAAGACTCATCATAGAACATTGGTACAAATGGGTCCAGATGGAGTGGAATGGACATTGTGTTCATATAACTGACACCAACTACTTTGTGATTGAGGAATAGTTTCTCATTGTAGTTTGTCAGTAAGCTAACATGCCATGGTGTATGTGACGCACGAGTCACATTGTACTGTCATGTTTACGTACCTTTTAGGTTTTTATAAGGATTACAACAAAGTATGGACACAGGGGTCAGTCTATACAAATGAACGACTTTTAATACATAAAGGTCAGAGTGGTCGTGTAAGGACATGTCACTGGTTAACAGTGACTGCCATAACCAGGGATTGGATGACTAGAGTATTATCTGTTTTCCTTTTTCACTGGATTGTTATCACAAGAAGTACAATATTCTAAAATGATATTGCTTACAATTTGTTTTAGGTGTTTTCATGGTAGAGTACCTTGAAACTTTCATCTAAGTCCAGACATGACCTACCTGAGGAAAACATAGAAGACAAGGGTAGAAATAATTTACAAGAACTACATGTATATTAAACATATAATTGATGTCTCGTCAAAGACTTTAAAGCATTTGATGTTAATATGTGACTACCTTATCTACGCCCCTTGATGTCAGTATTCCGTACCTTCATGTCTACAGCTATCTTCTGCTATTTCCTTGTTTTTACTAGTCAAGTCATTTACATCCAAGTGGCACAGATAAATTTTATTTTCAGCATTGTTAGGTTATCTGAACTCAGACCGACATGTCTCCTTTGTCCTTTCATCTGCTTTAAAACAATGCCTCTGATCCTATGTTAGCATCATTTGAAGAGACGACTTATTCCATCACACTCTGTGTCACTGCATGTGAACATTTAATCTTAGTTATTCTGATTTTGTACTTGTTTGATGCTCTTGCAGTCGCCGTGCCCTTGGGCTCCCACTGGAAGAGCCTGGTAGGTATGTGGATCCAAGTGCTATCAGCAAGGATCAGTATGATCCTGAAAGTCCCTTGTATAGATATGACTACTGGGGCGAGCCAAAGAACTCAGAGAAGAGCAAGCAGGAGCGAATGACGGATGCTCACAATAAATCTATTGTTGGCAAAGGTACTGTTTGGTATGAGTTGTCATATGAAGATGCCATCAAGGAGCAGATGCAGATGGAGGCCCAAGGATTTGTGCGGGAGTTGTATGATGAAGATTCTGACAGCGACCAAGTGAATACAGATGATGAAGATGACGAGGAAGACTTCGATTACAGCATCCTAGGCGACCCAAGTGAAAATACAACCAACCAACCTTATGTCAATGGAACTGAATCTTCTCAGCTATCAGATGAAGGAATGTTTGAAGATTAAGTGACAAATAAGAAACTCATCAGCAGCAATACTGTATTGATAGTTTGTACAGCTAGGTACATTAAACGGATGCAATTTTCGTAGAGTTTTTCCTTATGGTGGTTTGATTTTGTTGCATCTTTAGAAATGTATTTGTTCTGTGCCTTGGTAGAAAAGAAACAATTTTGTACACTTAACAACCAGTTGGTTTTGTTATCTTCATATTTTTGGTTCCTAAAAGTGATGAGTGGAGTTTCATAATATTATTTACCTTATCAGAAAAAAAGTTATTGGTGCAGTTTCTTGATGGATTATTGTATTGCAAGCTATTTGGCTGATGCTTGAAGAGTTATATGTTCAACATAATCAGTCATTTTTCTTTCAACCTATATTTCGTTTTCACCTGTTGATGGCCAATGTTACTAACATTTGAAGCAATTCAAGTGGTGGGGTAAGTTAGCACTAATGAAAATTTGCCATTCTTAACTAAACATCTCGTGTTAGATAGTTAAAATCTCGAGTTAGTTTTGATAATGGAAAAAAATCTTAATAGGAAATGTTTCCCCTTCTAATCAACCAATGAGAAGTAAATCCCAGATGATTATATAAAAAAAAGTTTACATTATTAATTGTTATTTATATATATATTAAAGAGTACCAAATCTCACTTACTATATTTATCCGTTAAAAATAGATCTTATACTAAACAAAATATTCATTTTATCTTTTTAATTCTTTAAAAGTAGATCTCGTGCTAGATATAATCATTATTTTCCTAATATTAAGAATTTTAAAATCCCACCAATTAACTATACATGAGATTCTCCAAATTATGCTTACCAACAAAAGAACTTAATAGTTTTTAAGTTTTACTACCCCATCTCAATTTTGTAAAATATAATGAATTAGTGTGTGTTGATTTAATTGATTATAGGTCCATTAATGGGCATTAATATTGTTTTTTCAATTAACATTAGAATTTAAACTATAGAAAAAATACTGACTAACCAATTCTTTTAATGTAAGTAAGAAAAAAAACTTAGATGTCTCAGTCAAAGTAGAATGTATAATGTTGTTATTACAATTAATTGAGATGTTACCTTACATAAATTATTTCCTTAATTGAATTATACATGATTTTGTGAAACAAAGAGCAAATTCAGTGTGTTTTTTTTAAAAAAAAAAGAATTTAAATTATTAATAGATTCTGTAATTTTATTGTTTGATGTTTAAAAGGACGTGCAAAATCAATTTGACTACAACAAATAACTTAATTATTATTTTTGATAAAATATTAGATTTTATTGCTCGCAATTGGTTCTTGAGTGTCGATCTAACAAAAAAAATCAACTATAGTCATTTTTTTTATTCAATTGAAAATTGGTTTCGATGTAAGGATCGACAACAACTCGGAATTGATCGTCTACGTCTTTGATTCCCTTCATCGCTGCTTTCAAAGGAACTCAAACAATATGCTAGAAAGGACATTGTTGAACCCAAGGCTCATTAATCTAGATTAAGGAAAAGCAATAGACTCGATCCACAATAACTAGGTTTTCAGCTTTGACAATTATTTCCCATCCCTTCTTGAATTTTGCATTATTGTATGATGCTAGCATACATCTTTGTTGTATAATAGAAGAAGCATTAATATATTAACTGAATCGGTCAAAGATCAAATACGTTTATTTAGCTTTCAATTGCTAAAGACATTTCTTGCAATTGAGAAACAAAACTAGATCATTTCGTTCCATTTTTAATAAAATTATAAAGGATATTTCATTAGTAATAAAAAAAAAAGTTGGAGGGGATCGGTATATATTGTTTACATTGATTAGAAGATGCATAAATGCTAAAGCTGAATTGGAGAAGTATGAAAAATATTTCACAATATATTTAGCACACTCTTATTGAAGTATATAATCGGCTTGAATTTTTCTTTATGCTATTTATTGTGTTGCTTCTTTGATTAAAAAACACTCGTTTTCAATAACAACAATATCATTTTGATAGAAAATACGAAAAACAATAATGATAATTCACATTAAGATGAGGTGAGCATAAACTTAGATTTTTTTATAAAAGAAAAAACTAAATCATTCCTTTTTTCTTTCAACCATAGAAGGATTTAGAATTTGAATTACATTCAACTGTTTTGTGTCTACTATTATTGTAAAATGGAATTAACTTTAAAAGTATATTTTTTCTAATGTGAAATTACTTTAAATGAGTAAAAATATTGACTAATATTTTATACATTGTGATATGAATAGGAAAATGATGCATTTATATATTTGATCACGTGTAAATAAAGTATTTTAGAAAGAATTCTTAGATAAAATAAAATGACAGTTTAGCTAATAATTGTCTAGTTTTATTATATATGAGCTTACTATAAGATATAAATGGGATAAGGGTACAAATTTTAGCACTCTGGCAAAATGAATAAAATATAGATGAATCTTTTTTTAGTTAATTAATAAATTGTCAGATACAATATTTGTAAAAAAATATAATATACATGCAATGCACGTATACGAGTAAATGCTAATGCAAAGTTGAACTATCTTTAATTAAATCAAAAACTATTTACGTCTTACTTTTATACAATAAACCAAATATTAAAACAAATTAAAGAAAAAACCGCAAGAATAGATCATAAAACAGGAGTATCATTTTACAACTTGTAATTCTTTATATTACAACACAAATACTTATTTTAAATATTATTTTTATAACTTTGTTTTTATTTTTATTAATACGAGGAAGATGTAGATTAATCAATTTATCCCGATCTTAAATAAGTTTTGGGGTTCAACCAAATACTCTGTATCCATTACTAATATATTTTGTTATTTTAGGTTTAACATTACACCTACTAATTAATGATTCATAAGATTCTGTAAATAATTGTAACGTAATTAATTAACAAAGCCCCAAAATTAGCTTAGTTGTAAACAGAGGATTTTCCCTTGATTTCATCGGAGAATTTGCAAATTAAAACAACAGCCATTGATCTCATCTCCGTTCAATGGCTTCTCTCGCCTTCAATTCCGTCGCCACCACCAAATCCGGCGTCCGCCACCAACTGGCGCATCTCCGTCTTCTCTCTTATCCTTCAGTTTCCTTGAAATGCCGATGGTCATAGTCCTTTGCTCGTGCCTTTTCAGGTATATCACTTTACAATCCTTTCCTTTTATCATCCGCTGCTAAACTTGTAACTGTTTTCTGTGTGTGCTGGGGGATAACGAGGTAGTTATATGATCAGGTGTAAGAGCTCAGGTGGAGAGTACTGAGCAAGCTGGAGTTGATGTGGAAGCTCCTGTTGTGGTTATTACAGGAGCTTCTAGAGGAATTGGGAGGGCTGTTGCTTTAGCTTTGGGAAAAGCTGGTTGCAAGGTCATCCATTCAGATACTTTGTCTTTATTTAGTTAAAATAGCCTTATGGTTTGGATCATTGTTATCGATTAGATAATTGTTGACTGTTTGGCCTTCAATTCGTGAGTAAATTTGTCGATTTTGATAGATTAGGACTTTTTACTACCACAATGAAAAGGAAACTTATATTGCCTGGATGATAAGCTTTCTTTGATACGTCATGGTTTACTGGGAAACCCTGTGGTTTTCTTGTTCAACAGCATCAATTTTTATAAATAGAAATAATAAAGAGCAGTTTCATTTTTAAGATGCAGTGGTGGTTGCTTAAGTTGTATTTTTTGGACAATAGCTCAAAAAGGAAGTATTTGAAGTATCTATATTTGTTTTTGTGCCCCCAAATTCGCTTTTTGGCAGTGATATGAAGTAATCTGGAGTTCAACTTGGATAATTTCATGGTTATTGTTAACCCTTTGCTTGAATATCCTTTTTCTGGTCTATTTTTTCCACTGCTTTCACCTTTCAGTGAGACATTTTAACCCAGGGCCTAGCCAAGTTCACCATTTCGTCTCATTATTCGTCTTTGAAGGTGGTATAGGATGCTCTGAGTTCCAATATCCTTAGAAACTTTGAATAATGCTTTAGGCCTGAGCTGTATGTTATGTTATATGTTCTCTTTAAAGAATATGCTTTGAATCAAAATTTATGTTACATCATATGTATACCTGAGAAATCTCTCACATACTCTTTCAACCCACTTAATATTTGTTGTTAGGTCCTAGTGAAATATGCGAGATCTTCAAAGGGGGCAGAAGAAGTTTCCAAAGAGGTGTGTTTCTTTTCTCAGTCGAAATCTGGTGTGATTTTGTTATTTTACTAAATTCCTCCAATTCCATGTGATATATTTCCTTTTTGTGGTTGAAAGTTGAGACCATGGAACTGTATTTCTGACTTAAGAATGATGTTCGAAAGAGTATTCCAGCACTTCTTTCACCATTCCTAGTGCTGAATGGTTCATATTGAGGGTGGATTTTTTCTTCTTTTAGGGAGAAAACGAGTTGAGAGATCACATTAAACAAATGTCATCTGCTAGCAAAAATCAATTTTATAAGTTGGATCTCTACCACTCCCCAAAACGGGATGGGACGTGGCCAGCACCTGATACATGCAATTGGACTGAGCAAACTTTTTTTTTTTTTTTATAACCGTGGTGTGCAGCCCAGCTTGCACGCAACTCGACTAATTCCTTGGGATACTTGTCACCTTCCACCAACAATAGGTACCAAGTAACTTTGTCCATCAAGGTACCTGTTGTTGGTGGGAGGTATCTTGTAGAATTAGTCGAGGTGCATGCAAGCTGCTCCAGACACCACGGTTATCAAAAAGAAAAGTAGAGAATGTGTGGAATCCTAGCTCACACATGGACCGCCATACTTACCCAATACATGGCCCTAACATCATGAACACAATGTTGCCCGAGTATTGGAATACTCAGTATACATCATAGCCACGAAACTCATGGTGAGGCAAGAGTTATGCATAATAAAATATTGAGTGCAAGAAAAAGATAAATCAATTATGCAATTTAATTTATCAAAACATAAATGTATACATTTGAATCCACTCAAGCATTTAAAGTAGTCATAAATCTTTCATGGCAAGATTAGAATTGATCAATTTTAGCAACAATACACATTCTTCCACATGTGTTACAATGTTGCGATAATATAGCACAATCTTTCCATGTATGTTCCACTGGAATTATTACGATCATCAAAGTGTGACAAGCATTGTGTTAATTCGTAGTCTCAATGTCCATAACGTAGGAGTCTCATAACTATCGTGATGTAATGCATCGAGATACCACCTCGAAGTGTGACGTACCCTCCCCGCCAGATAGACTATATGAAATCAATGATGTAATGCATCGGAATATCATCGTAGAAGTCTGATGTACTCTCCTCGCTCGATAGGCTATATGTAATGCATCAAGGATCCAAGAAGTTCGATCTACTCTCCTGACCTGATAGGCTAAGTTGCTCAGACTCGGGTGCGGATATCCGATGTGGATGCGAATCCGACCCTCGGATTCGGCAAAATCTAAATTTTAAGATTCGGGGGTATGGATCCAGATATGGATACAGGTGTTGGGATTCGGCTAAAAATCCAAAATTATAAAATAGAGTTATAAAGATATACTAAATTATGATAGATTTTCTACATTTTCTCTCCCAAGACCACCAACTTCTTCTTTCAAGCTCTTTGGTTCTTCCCCTAAAAAAAGAAAAAGAAAGCCAATCAAGATCTTCCACCAACTCTCCTTACCAAAAGTTGGAACACAACCGCTTGAATTCTTAGCTTCTTTTTGTTTGGCTTGAAACATGACGCAAGGAATATTGACCAAGAGGAAAAGCTAAAAAAGAGATAGAAGGACTATAATATTAAAGGTATGTCATTGCTCATGTCTTTTGTTAAGAAGTTCCACATCGGTAGAGGGATGGGAATAAATGAGCAATTCACTATATATAAATATGAGAGTACAAAATATAGAGAGAAACAACCTCAACCAATTTACTTAGAATACATGAGAGGTTCACACAAGTAGTAACGTATCACTTGTGACCCACAAATTCTCCCCCTAACCTAAACTCTCAAAGCCCCTAGGACTACATTGTGAATGTTGATTAAGTTAGAAGGAACAAGTCTCTATTTATAGAGTCCTAAACCTTTTCCTACAAGAAAAGGACTAGCCACTCCTAAACCTTTTCCTAAAAGGAAAACCTATTTATGGTAAGAAACTTTGGACAAATAAAACCCAACAAATCTCCCCCTTGGCTTGAATTTCTGACAAAATAAATTTGTCCATCTTCTTCACATAATCTTTAACAACTTGCATCTCCTCTCCATAATCTCCTATGCAAAATCTATGTGTCTACACAAAGAACCTCTCTGAAATAATTTCTCCAACAAAAATCTTCATTACTGTCAAAAAGGTGCGACTAGAATTACACCCGCTAAGATGAACACCCAATTTTTAACCTGGTTCATTAATCGATTATCGAACCATTGAACCTGACTCCATCATTGAATCTGGCTCTGATACCATTTGTTAAATTAGGTCTTAGGCCTAACTCACACCCCAAAAGCTAGCTCAAAGGGAGGAGGATTGCCCAAGCCTTATAAGGAGCCCACCCATCTCATTAACCACCAATGTGAGACTTTTGTCATTCTTTAGCATCTTTAAATCTATTTTATCTTTTATCAAAATTTCAAATTTCCCCCAAATTCGTCCTTGAACTCTGGTCAAAGTATCCAATGTGGGCTGACAGAATCCCGCACGTATCCCGCACCTGCACCAGTCTCGAGTTGACACAGGTGCGGCAGCAAAAATGAAGAGTCCGCGCAACTTAGCTGATAAGCATAAATACATTGTCATTTTTTCAAAATCATGGCTTGTAGCTGAAACTCATTTTCTATAATGCATTAAGATCCAAGAAGTTACACTCCCGGCGAGATAGGTAATGCATAATTGTGATTATATATTCCATTTTATGTCATGACAATTTAGCCTAATATCCTTTCTTAATTAAGTAGCAATTTTCATATATTCAATGAATATCAAGAAAAAGGAGTACAATGCTATAATCGGAAATATGCCAAGAATCATATCAATACAAACACGTCATGAACAACATTGTAGATAGTATGATGTGCCACACAATACTGTAAAGATTGTATAAGAGCCATAGACACTTTTATATAATTCAAGACTTAACCATGTAGGTGCATTTATCAATACTAAGGCCTAAGTCCCAAAAATTCAAGGAAAAAAAATATTCTTCCATTGGAGATTGATTCTTGTGTTTTAACTCTAATCTATTTCTTAAATGTCTTATGGTGTGTAGTCGCTTTATTTTGAACTCAACGCGACACAATCCATATCCACCCATCAATATTAATCATCTCTTCTCCGAAAATGATAATTTTCATGATCCATTTCTAGGGTTCCTTCAATAACTCATTCCAGTTACAAATAGTACTCAAATCATCCTCTTAACCCAATACTTATACCCAATATCTATACTCTGAGGAAGGAAAGAGAATACTTCAGTAACACCATAAAGTTGGAATGTATTTGGGATCTAGTTTTCAAAGCATTTCTGGTAGGTGACTTAGAAATAGTAACATTAGCAGTGTATGGCTGCAGGAGTTCAGCTGTATAACACATAAAAAATTATGGTTAATCTTTTCAAAAAGCTTACTGTTATTTATTATTCTATTTTTGATAACTGAAATATCATTATGTAATTTTCCTAGATGGTAATTTATTAAAAAAAAAAGAAAAAAGTAACAACTGTTTGTGTAGACTGCACTTGGTCTCCTACCAACTCTTAGGGGTCGTTTGGTGTGAAGGATAACACCAAATAGTCCTGAGATTTAATTATAGTGTCACTTAATTTGTTGTTTGGTTGGCAAGTCTAGGATAACTTATCCCGGGATATATAATTAGTACTAGGGTAAGTTATGCCTCCCCTTGGGTGACAAAATAAGTAAATGACAAAAATATCTCTTTAAACCCTTTTTATATATCACTTTTCACATTCATGAAGGGTATTTTTGTAAACAAATAAATTCTTCTTAAAATTTATTATTTTGAATACAACAAACCAAACCCTCAATAAAAAATAATATTAGTATAACTAATCCCATCATAACTTGAATTCAAACCAAACGACTCCTTAAACTCTTCTCCATGTCTTGAAGCATCCACTTGACCTGTTCTTTCCATATAGTTCAAAAAAGGCGTCTCGCTTGCTATAATCTCTAGCATTCTCTTTGAGAGTGCCTAATAAATGTCAAATAAGGAGGATACCATTTCCCAAGGCTGTGAAGTTGCTCTACAATGTAACAGCAATTAATCGTCATCTTTCCCTCTCAACTTTGATTCTCTGAGAAAGGAGTTCTGTTTAATAGTGGTCTTCAATTCTCCATCTTAGAGTACAACTTATGGTAGCACTGGGTTATGTCTTCTCTAATCCCCTCTTCGCTGGAAGTTCATGGCCATCATTGATTCTTTCTTATACGATTGTATCCCCTGTAAACATTGGCCATTGTTATCTCCTTTTTTGCCAGGTGCTTGTGATCTTTATCTCAGAATCACTTCTTGTGCTACAAGTAACTTTCCCAGCTGACCTTTCAATTCTTCTCTTTGAATTTTATCAGCTTTTGATATTGTTTAATTAATATCTTTTCTACCCCCCCCCCCCCCCCTTTCCAATTCAAAGAGCAAATCTGACATGGTAATTTCCACTTATCACCAACTTGTGGCATGGTCTGTTCGCTACCTCTTTCATACAATTCTTGACCATCTTTTTGAAGTTCTCATGGTGTAGTCACATGTTTAAATCTGAAAGGAAACAGTACCTCATACATCAACAGCAACCTAGTATATTATTGGACTGTTATTTGATATCGATCTTGGCAGGGTTTGCTTACTTGAGCTCTATAATTTCTCCTCATTTCATGGATATCAACACCTTATCCATTAGGGAAGCATAGGAGATATCTGATCTGGTCCTGGTTGATGAAACCAGAGAATTCAATCAATACTATAGATGTTTCCTTAGCAAATTTCTTTGCTCCAATCCATATCTTAGTACAATAAGATCATCTGCTATCACCAAGGACATGATCATCTTTGTTGTGTCATGCAGTTGTCTTTTACCACTTTCTATCTATCTTCGTCTTACTTTGTCTTCTCCTCTGGTTGATTGACAGATCGGGCATGGGATGCAGCTAATAGTCCCATGGTCCAGCACCTTTTACTATTTCTCAGTTCCATTGTAAATTATAATCAGTTCTTCTGTCAATTTAGAATTTGGTATCTCTGAGTCGGTCTAAGAAATTGTTGCGTAGAAAATCATGCTATCTCCTCCATCTAAGTTACTTTTTTCTTTTCCATCTGTAATCAACCATAAAGTCCAATTTCATGTTGTAACTGAGAAATTCCTGTAATTAGATTGTCTTACTCACTTTCTCGAGTGTTCTCTGCTGTCCTGTATCCTATGATACTTTCAGCAAACATATTTCTCAAACCTCTGTCGTGTCTTTCACAATTTAATCATTGCTGCACACATCAGGTTTGAGTAAAAGCATCAGAATTGGGAAATTAGGGGCATTCATGTAAAAGTAACAGTTTCATTTAAATTAATTTTTATTCAATATAGCCTTAAAGGAGCTTTTTGATAGTAAGTTTCCAAAAAGGTTTCCAGGGAATTTTTGTTGTGTGGCAACTTTTGTGCTGTTTTCCTGCCAACAACTGAAAATGATGCCATATGTCACTTAGAACTATCCGAGATTTGTTAGGTTTAAAGTGAGAAAACTTCACTCAAATTTGAGTCCTTCCAACATGTTTTACCCACTGGTGTTCCTTGTATATAGTTTCATCTCCACAACTATGATATGAGCTCATGATAGGTTGGATAGCAAGTAAACATTGTTTGCTAGAAAGCATAAAACCAGAGTAGTAATACTTCTGAAATTGCAGAAATTTTAGTAGGAAATTCTTGTTTGAACTTTTTTAGGTCTTATGGCAAACACATCATATATACTTGGATTCCTTAAAAGGATACTATCAGTTATACATCTTCTGTAGTGAAGAGTAAGGTCTCCTATAACTCCAGAAACTGGTAAGCCATGGACAAAGTGAATCTGTTCTCTGTTTTTTCAGATAAAATTCAGAATTGTTGTCATGAGAAAATTGCTAGCAACTAATCTGATGTTCAATACCGAAACCAGTAGTGTTGTGAGAATTCCCTTTTGGAGCACTTGTACTGGTTACTCCCTTTTTAATGGATGGCCGAGTCCAAAGTCATGTGAAGATATCTGGTGACCAGTTAAGGCATGGTGCTTTGTTTAATTAGTGCAGCCAGAAGATTGGCTTGTTCTTGTATTTAGTAGCTGATGCTACTAAAGATTGCAGGACTAAGTTTTTTTTTGTGTGTAATGATAGTAATGGTTACTGCTTGTTTGACAAATGAAGAAAGCTTACCAGGAGTGTCAAATGACTCTAGTATCTTCAGTCCCAACCAGCCACCCACCCACCCACCCCAAATGCTATTATACTATGACTTAGGTTCTCCTTACCACATGAAAGTACCTTTCCTTACCAATTTGCCTTCAGAAAGAAAAAGATTGAATGTCATGCTCCTAAAATTGTCGGGGTTGCATTGGAATTAGGGAGAATAGATTAGCGTTGTTAGTGGTACATAATCAGGAATTAATTCAATCAACAAATTCCCCTTGCTTCCTGAGGTTGGATTGTTCTGTATTAGCTGATGCTTATCAAACTTTGCAAGGTTAAGTTTCTATTTCATGTGTAAAAACAGTAAAATAGTTAAATTTCCATTCCTATCATTTAAGTGATATTTAGAATGTTAAAGGCTATCTCATGGAGTACTTGTTACACCAGCAATCTGATAACAGCTATAAGGTTCATCAGTAGGCTGTTTGACATCTTCCCCTAAATTAATTTTAATTTCCTATTTTGTTGGCAGATTGAATCATGTGGTGGCCAAGCTATGACTTTTGGTGGTGATGTTTCAAAAGAAGAAGATGTAGAATCAATGATGACAACTGTAAGCAAACTCCTTTCCTGGTGAAATTTATTTTAAATGTATCTTACTGTAGTTGTTTCCAAATAATTTCACCTTATAAGGCTCATGTTTACAGGTGGTTGATCAATGGGGAACAGTTGATATCTTAATAAATAATGCAGGTCGACAACGGTCGTACTGTGTTGTGTTTAGTTTACTAGAATGACGGCTCAGTAGTTGTCGTGGTTTTCTTTCCAGGTGTAACACGTGATACTTTGTTGATGAGAATGAAGAAATCTCAGTGGCAGGAGGTTATTGATTTGAATCTTACTGGAGTATTCCTTTGCACACAGGTCTATACAGTTGCTGTGTTCTTAATTCGACCAGAACTTGAGTCTTCTTCAAAGAAAACATTTTTTCAGAGAGATCTTTTTCCTTGTTGCAGGCTGCTGCTAAAATTATGATGAAAAAAAAAAAGGTAAATGTTTAGCCCCTTCCTAGTGCAATTCATCAAAAAATGATATAGAGACGAGGCTAAATATTTAGCTAACTGCTGCATAAATTACTACCCGCAGTTTGATTGGTGCCTTTTCAGTCAATTTGAAGATGCGTTTATTTATATAAACCATCAATGCATTCTTTTATTGTTTCATGTACTCTAGAATTTTATCTAGTAGACTTCTCTAAATTTTTGTAGGGGAGAATAGTCAACATATCATCTGTTGTTGGTTTAGTTGGCAATGCTGGGCAAGCCAACTATAGTGCGGCAAAAGCAGGAGTGATTGGGTTAAACCAAAAGTGTCGCAAAAGAGTATGCCAGCAGGAATATAACTGTAAGTGCTCCTTAATCCAAATTATTATTCACTTGGGTGAGCCTTTTCTCTTTGATAAAAGCAACCTTGGGACATTGGAGTGTCAACTACAAAGGAATTAATTCTTCCCAACAAGGACAATCTACTGACTATTTATGACGTTTGACAAGTTATTTACCACAATCTTTGTTTTCATCAGGTTAATGCTGTGGCCCCTGGATTCATTGCATCAGATATGACTTCCAAGCTAAGTGAAGACGTTGAGAAGAAACTTTTGGCAAGCTTCCCATTAGGTCAGGGCTAATCTCCTTGACTATGATTGACAACTTTATCTAATATGTGGCACTCTCCTGCACATCAAATATGGAAACGTATAGAAATCAACATCGTAGACATCTGATAATGTGGCACCTGTGCGAGTATTGGAGATTTTTTGAAATGTTTCCAAAAATAATTCAAACATGTTTTTTGGAAGAAGCTCTTGCAAGTTGATAAACTCGCCAAAGGTTGTGCTTCAACTTGCAAGAATTTCTTGTTTTGACAGTTATTCCTCACCAAATAAACACTTCCTGGTAAAATTCCACTCTCTCGCAGATGCCACCAAAGAATCCCAAGTTGAACAAGAGTAATAATCCAATTCCCAGTATTTCTGTGCATTTATTGCAAAATCTTGATACATCCAAAATAGGATATTTTCTCTGCCTTGTACTTTCATCCAGCGTATAAAAAGTAAGTATTATTTCACTGTTTATTTACACAAACTGCCAGTAAAACGATTTTGGAGTCTTTTAAAAACTATTGTTATTTTGTTTGTTGATAAGTTGGGGCTTCATTGAGAACACTAACGAACTAAGATACTTAAATGATCAGATGAGAGTAGAAAGTTTGTTTTGTGATGCATAAATTTGCTCCTCTTCAAGTGTTAATTTAGTTATACAGAGTATATTTTCCGCATGTTGCTGGAAAGTGAACGATACATCATTTCTGATCATCACCAATGTCATCAATTTGTATTCTAGGCACTGCAAATATTGACAAATTTTGTTGTGATGACAGGACGATATGGCCAACCAGAAGAAGTTGCTGGATTGGTGGAATTCCTAGCACTAAGTCCTGCAGCCAGTTATATTACTGGACAGGTTCTTACTATTGATGGTGGAATGGTTATGTAGAAACTTTCAGCATTTCCAGTTGGTTTCCATGACTTGGATGGCACTGAAAAGGTTGATTAGCTATGTTGGTAGAGAAAACTCAGTAGCCTAATGAGCCGTTAGGGTTTTCATCATTATTTTTGTCCAACTGTTGCAAGCTGAATTCTGTTGGAATGGACGATATACATGTTCAGCACTACTTATAGGCTTTTAACAAATGTGAATTTTTTTTATGGCCACTTGTTTCAGGGTACTGGGGAAGATTCAGGCAATAGCAACGCTACACAACACTTGGGGACAGAAAAGCCAACGCACCTTTTAGCAACATTTTTTCCTTTTACTAAACAGGCAGCAATCTGGTACTAAACTATGTAACAAAACTGTTTTCACCTAACCTTTATCCACTCCCAAGCAGACAACCAACTTATACACGAGCAAAAGAATTTCAAATAAAAATATAAGATGACTGGCTATGTTGGCCAGACCCGCCAACCAGGACTCTTCTGAAGCATCCAAGCTGGGGGACACTTGCATCAACTTAAGAGACCCAAAGTCACTAGAAGGTCATGACTTATCTGTGTATCCCCCCTAAAAAAAAATTCCAGTCCACCCTGGGACGATAAAATGAGAGTTCAATTAAACCACCAAGCACCCTCATCAACTTGACGATCGGCCAAAGTATTAAAGAGATTTCAATCAATCTCTCCTTCCTCTGGATCATTCGATACGTCAGGGATGCTCTGTGGTTCAGCTTCTTCTTCCTCCTCTTCATCTTCATCTTCATCTTCTTCCTTCATATATAATCCAAGTTGCTCCAATGGATTACTAGTTGCCTTGAATTTGAAACTCCCAAGAACATTCTCAGAATGACCAGGACTAGTCTCCTCAATGAAGCTCTCTAGCTGTTCATCTGGAGCAGCTCTGAACAATTCCAGATCTTCCATAAATTGACTGTTCTCATTGATTTCAACAGTCTTCTCCATCTGCTAGCACATGATTTAAGAGTGTTATAAAGTGACAGTTAAAAAGATAATCTCAATAAATGTAACCCCATCTGTCTTTACCTTCTGGAGTGCCTGACGGGCAGCTTCTCTTTCAAGTTCTCGTTTCCTTTTGGCTTCTGCAGCAGCTTCTGCCTCAGCTCTTTTACGAGCCTCTTCGGCAGCCTTAGCTTCAGCTTGCAACCGAGCTTTCTCTGAGTAAGCAGATAAACAAATAAAGTGGTGGTTTTCAGAGATGCAACCAAGAAACAAACCCAAAGTGTTTTCTCTGAATAAACCGATAAACAAATAAAGAGGCGGTTTCAAAGATGTGATTGTGGACTTCCACACATGCAACAACAGAAAACACAAACCTTCTCGCCTTCGCCTTTCAAACTCCTCTCTCTCAAGCTTTAGCTTTTCTGGGTCCCGCACTTCACCCTAAAATTTTAAAAAGACTAGTTAAGCAAAACAATAGTACACCTGGATGAATGGATCTAAAAAATCTAACTTAACGCAAGCAACACCAGCTAAAGTTTGGCTGACCTTTTCAATGCTCTTCTCCTGAGCTTTTAGTATGATATCGGCAAAGCGACCTCTTAACAAAGCTGCACGGTAAAGCTTCTCAGGAGAGACTTGCCTCTCAGGTTCAGCACTTTCCTCTAAAAGGTTACAGTACATGATGAGTGAGATGATTGCTGCAAAACTAGTAGCAGACATTTTCTTCATCTATTACCATTGCTTACCCTCTCGATGATCATCGGGCTCAGCAAAATTGGAGTTCTGCTGAGAAGTCAGCACTGTTTGGCCAGCCAACGGATCTGTAGTACACAAACACTATATCAGCACATATACTGACCAATAAAGCTATTAAATCTTCCCACCACCCACAGATTTACAGAAAGAAAGCAGCAATGAAAATCATGTCATTTGATTCCACAGGTTGACAACCTGTAGTTTCTGGAAGGTCAAGCTCATCTTCCTGCTCCAATCTCGCCCCAGAAGCCGCTGTTGCCTGTGGAAGAACAAAATTATTTTAGACGGCAATAGAAGTCATCACTCAAAATAATAATAATCCAATAAGAGAACCAAATAACTTATAAAATCAGACGACAATATCCCACACCTTCTGAACAGTTAAGGCAACTGAATCTTTATCAGCATCCGATTCACCACCAGATGAGCTTCCAGAATCTGTACCTGAGAAAGAAAAGGAGATAACAATTTTAGCAAGTAAAGAAACATAGCACCTTAAGTTCACAGCAAATATGGCAGCAAAGAAAATATCAACTTTCCAACAGTCCAGACTTCTGACACAAGCACAACCATTCCCGACAAATAAGAATTGCAGAACTTTCAACTCAATGCAAGCCTCCTAATACAAGCAAGTTAAAAGGGCTAATCAACCTAATTCTCTCAATTAATACGGGTATTTAAAAAAATCTCGCCGATTGCTGGACAGAGTAACTTTTTTTTGGATAAGCAAATCTTAGACAAGTAACACATCTCACTTGTTAATACTATGCTATATCCTCCCAAAAAAAGAGGAAAATGTGGAAACAAGCAAATAACGAGCAACTGGCAATAGAGTTAGAATATGACACAGGTACTATCCAGCAACGTACACGTCTGAGCACATAAACAAATTTGTTACCATAGGAAGTACATACACAACAATTTCAGAATAGAAGATCCAGAAACAATGTTTAGAATCTAGGAGGCCAAAGCACAAATAAAGCATGATTAAAAACCAAGCAATGGTATTATTGCCAATGGAAGTATGAGGTGGGAGATTCAAGGGTCGGGCTTTCATTGCCAAAGAAGAACAGAAAGCACAGTGAAAAATTGCAAGGTTGTCAGAGTAAAGAAGAAAGTTATTTTTTCACATTAATTCCTTTTTCAGCTTTTAAAAGAAGTCACTTCCAAGCAAGCAAACCATAATGTATTAACTTCTGAAAAGTGCCTATTGAGTATTGAAAGACGATATACTTCGACTCCAAGTTCTACAGCCAAAAAAAATCACTCACTACCAATCTCTTTATAAATCTACATCTGCCAAGTTGTGGCACAATAAATTTTGAAGACAGAAAGCTATCAAACATCCAACTTTTTTTTTGATAATAAGCTATCAAACATCCAACTTCTAACAAACACTTTATATCCATAGTAATTGACAGTTCAAAAAGTTATGGCAGATAATTAGCCAATACTGCTAATGTGATTCAAAGACCAACAAGCCTCACTGTCATTCATATAACATGCTAACGAGCTCTAACTTACTATAATGTCAGACATATAATTATATCTAGTTCAGCCAAACTTATGTAACAGGGAGACACCGAAATCCCCTCCCCCGCCCAGCAAAAAGACAGAAAAAAACAAGAAGAAATAATCCATACCTAATTCATACCAAAATAATATCAAGATAACAGTTTCTAATTTCCTAGCCCACGGGAAAAAATCACAAGAAGTTTCAATTACCTATTCAGGAAAAATCCTACATTTTCCCTGGCCGACAATCATGACTGGAGCAAGGTGCTTCAGTCTCAAATTGTCAAAAGTGAACGCCCAGTTCTATTTCTATTTCACAAAAAGGTTTGACAACACAAAAGAGCTAGCAGGAGCACAAAGTTTCTAAACTTCACATGGGAATTACTCAAGTGGTAGAGTTCAAAACTCATGAGCAAGATGTAAAACAAACTTTTTTCCAGAACTTGAAATACGTTACTTCCCCAAACGAGAGAGAGCAAACCAGGTTTTTCTCTTCATGTTTATTTCTTTTTATTCTTTCTCATTTGTGTTACAACACCTTAATTAAATTCTAATCCAGAATTGTGAAAATATCCTACAAATAGATATGTTGTTTCTACCAAATGCTGCTATAAGCAAAAAGAGATCAACTTCCTTTCAAGTAAAGCCAATATAAGCATGTATTTGATGAGTTTTTAATAAAGAAATTAACATCCTAATCTTCTTTAGGTTGTTCATTTTCCCACCAAAAGTTCCTGCCACGGCATCAGCCCATCCTCGAATTCCTGCGGACATTTTGAGCCTTATCTTGGATATTTGATTATCCTAGACAAATCAACCTTCTTTCCGATACCCTAAGTACTACAGAACGTTAAAAAAAACAAGGGAAACAGGAACTGCAAAGTGATAAGGATGGAATCTACGCAGGTAGCCTTTTCTTGTTAAGAAAATGGAGGAAGGTATTCTCAGCTTAGCAATTGTGAAGGCACTCCTAAATAGCAGCTACAGAGAAATACATATTTGATACAGACCATACAGTGGGGAAACATGATCAATAAATTGGAGCTTGAGACAATTTCTGAAAATAGTTCTGAATTATCTTTTAAAATGTCAAGAGTAGAATGGTATCAATGGTGTCGGTGTTCATATGGAGGCAATGCTAGGTTTGATGATGGTGGAAGAGCAGGATAGGGTCTATTATGTTGCTGCTAACATAATTATATGCACAAACAGATCAGTATGTAGGCATCGAGAACAACTCTAGACCATTAGTATCTACACCAAATTAAGGTGGGAGGCAATTGTAAGATATTACAGTGGTTGTAGATCTGTCATCAAGCCAATTAGAAACACGGGCATGTAGGGTCTGATAACCAGTTTGAAATCTAATCGTCTTGAGTTTTTAACATACATAACCAGATAAGAGCATCTGAATTTCAAACCCCTAAACCGACCCATGGAAAAAGTTCTAGTTGAAGAAATGAATTGATTAGGGGATATCAGGTATACTACACATGCAAAGTGCTACTGAAAATGCACAAACAAGTAAAAACAACAAGGTAATAGGAGAAGACTTCTCTTCTCGGATGTCCCATTATGCAATGAGACAGTGAGCATGTATATGGATAAAAGGAACAAGTAATTTTTTTATTATTTACCATGAGTAAATTTATAATAAGCATGCAAGAGAAAGGCCAAGTAAGGTAAGA